GTGCCCCTAGGGCCGAGGGGATGGGGACGGACAGGTTGGGGTTTAGGTCACAAGGCCCTTTGAATTCCTCAGGGTAGACAAAGGGGTAATGCCTTATATGATGTCATTCTCAAATCTGAGGAGTCTAAACCTAAATCTAGACAGTAGATTTCATTGTAAACACAAATTTGCCAGGGAAGGAATCCTTGGATTGCATATTTTATCTCTCTCTACCTCAGTTTTTTATCTGTGAAAATGCAGACAGTTCCTAGCTGGTAGAATTACTATGAGGAGTAAAAGTATCTCTTGGTAAGTGCTACCCCCTATCAGTCCTACTTTTATTAAATTAGCTGGGGGTGGTGCTCACATACCCAGCAGGGAGTGTCAGGCCCAGGCTAGGTGCCCAGCCGAGGGGGAGCCTCCAGTGGGTTCGCCCTGATGCGGAGCCAGGGTCGGGAATGGGTGGGAGTAAATAAGAAGGCTTCCCTGAACTAAGAAAGGCGTCGGCTGGCTGGGGAGACATACACAGTCCACAGTGTGGTCAGGCTGTGCCTGATGCTGCCTGCAGATGCTGGGGGCACAGGGACAGCCGCCTGTGGCCTGCCAGCTCCCAGGAGGGACGCTTTTTAAAAAAAATATATCTTATTGATTTTTTACAGAGAGGAAGGGAGAGGGATAGAGAGTTAGAAACATCGATGAGAGAAACATCGATCAGCCGCCTCCTGCACACTCCCTACTGGGGATGTGCCCGCAACCAAGGTACATGCCCTTGACCGGAATCGAACCTGGGACCCTTGAGTCCGCAGGCCGACGCTCTATCCACTGAGCCAAACCGGCCAGGGCAGGAGGGATGCTTTTGCTGGGTCCTGATGGGAGGTGGTGGTGGGGAGGGAGGGGGCCCTGCAGGTCTCAAAAAATGTGGAGTACTGGGCGTCTTGAAATCTGGAATCAGAAGCTGAGAGAGGTTGTGCAGCTGCAGCGTCGGACACATGGATTGGAGGGGAATTCAAGAGACGAGATTAGGGAAGTGGGCCAGGACCAGATTACGAAGGTTTTATCATGGTGCAGAAGTCTGGGTTTAATTCTGTGTAAACAGGTTCAGTAGTGTAAGCAGATTCGTTCCTAGAAATGTAACTAAAAGGTAAGTGGGAGTGTGGACTAAGGGCACTGGGTCAGCAGGAGTCAGAACTGGGGGCTTGGAAACCAGGAAGGCTGTCCTGTGTGTCCCAGCAGGAGGAGGCCAGGGGATGGCCCCGTGCTTGGGTAGGAGGCAGGGGCTGGGTGCGCAGCTGAAGGTGGGACAGGAGGAAGCGGCGGTGTCAGCCCTGGAGATGGGAGATGGGAGATGGGAGCTGCGCTGCCTCCGGGAGGGGAGGAGGCCAGGAGGGGAGCGCATGGGCGGCTGCTGGCGGTGGCTTCCGTCTCCAACCTCCGGCACAGTGGCTGGTAGCAGAGGAAAAGCATTGCTGAATGTTGCAGTTTTACATTTGTTTTCGCTTGCGGGATGGAAGCTTAAGCCTTCGCCGGAATTGAGGCATGTTAAAAACAGAATTCTTAATTACAGAAATCTTAACTTTCATTGATATTGCCACAAATCATAGCATTTCAAATGACATTTAATTACATTTTCATAAATGTATATATTTGAGTAACTGAAACTTAAAATAATTTTGTCTTTTAACATAAGTTGAGATGGCAAGTAGCAAATGCTAATTTTACCAGATTCGTGTTAATTTTTAAAAATAACCACTGGAGAAATTGTTATACATCTTTATTTACAGGATTTTTACCTCCTATAACTCCGCCAGAAAAGTTTTTTCTTTCCCAGCTAATGCTGGCACCCCCAAGGGAACTCTTCAAAAAGACACCTCGGCAGATCGCACTGATGGATGTCGGGAACATGGGCCAGTCTGTGGACATTAGCGGGCTTCAGCTAGCCTTGGCTGGTAAGGAGGGATGGGTGATTTGGGCATTTTGTGTATTATATTAGGAGTTTTTTCTTAAGTTACTCCACTTAACATGCAGGTCTGTGGCTGCGCTAAAAGATTAGTATTTTCCTTGAAAAACACAGTTCCAGTACTTTTGCTGGGTACTGATGGGAGGCGGTGGTGGGGAGGGAAAGGAACTTGGAGTATTGGATGTCTTGAAATCTGGAATCAGAAGCTGAGAGATTTTGTGCAGCTGGAGTGTAGGATACATGGATTGGAGGGGAATTCAAGAGACAAGAATAGGAAAACCCTTCATAATCTAGGTTCATTTTGAGTTTTCACTTGAATGGATTGCTTTTTCAATTTAAGAAGAACACTGAATAAAATTGTTTGTTAAAAACATAAAAAAATGTTCCTCATGTCAGTTTTGCTCAAAGTGAGATCACACATTCAATGCAATTCCTATAAAAGGTATGTTTTGCAAAAATAGAAAAACCCATCATAAAATTCATATGGAATCTCAAGGGATGCTGAGTAGCCAAAGCAGTGTTCTCTGGGCACCATTGTTGAAAATGGTTTGACCGTATATGGGAGGATTTATTCCTGGCACTTCTGTTCTGTATCATGGCTTATGTGTCTGTTTATTCCGGGGCCACACTTCTGAGTATAGTGGCTCTATAACGAGTTTTGAGAATAGGAAGTGGGAGACCTCCATTTTGTTCTTCTGTTTCAAGATTGTTTGGGCAACTTCTGTGCTACACATATAAGCAAATGCATGGGCACTGCTGAAACAGAGGTGTGATGTGATAGAAAAAGGGCACCTTCTTGAACTGGGTAGAAGGAGTGAAGGAGAGGCACCTGCTTGCTTGCTCTAAGCAAAAACACAGATGCTCGGGTCTTATGCTTGAGGGTGATTCACTAGGGAAACTGATATGTAGCCAGATTGGTGGACCCTTGGCCTTGTGATTAAATGAGCCACAGTATTGATTCTGACAGGGCCCCAGTCGTAGACTAATGCACCTGTGACATTTGGCTGCTTATATAAGGTGACATCTTTCCGCAAACTGCGTTTTCCTTGCAGCATTCTGACCTCCTTTTTTAACTGCTGGGTATTAGCAGTATAATAATGGTTATTTTTTGAAATCCAGAAAAATCTTTTCAAGACTTTTCAGATTGAAGGTACACAGAAGTGCTTATTATTCTCTAGTGCCAGATACAATCTATTAACAGAAATAAAATGATTATTTCCAAAACCAAAGATAGTATGAAAACGGGGTACAGCGGTGATCAACAATTTCAGGGACCTCACCTTCAGAAGTAATACATAGCTTGAGGACGCCAGCTTTGTATTCAGCAATGTGAGAATCAAATCTGATCCCTCAACTTGTGATGACGAGTCAGCCTGTGAGAAGTTTTAAAGTATGTCAAGCTCAGAAAGGAATATATGACTAGAGTAGGATTGAGAAGCTTGGCCGAGTGGCTGGCCAAGCCTGCTGCTGCGGTCCCCTACCCAAGTTTAAGATGTCACAAGCCATTCATTTCCCAAGTGGGGGAAGAAAAAGCCAAGTCCACCTATCTTATCTGGACCTAGCGACACAGATCATCTTTGCAGAGGCCTGAGATTCCAATCTCTCAGTGGGATCCATGGACCAAAGGTGTGGTGAGTGAGTGAGTGAGATGTGTGTGTGAATCCAACCAGAAATGTAATTGCTGGATCATATGGTAGCTCTATTTTTAATTTTTTGAGGAACCTCCATACTGTTTTCTATAGTAGCTGCACCAACTTACATTTCCTCTAACAGTACACTAAGGTTCCCTTTTCTCTATATCCTTGCCAGCATTTATCATCTCAACTTTTTTAATATATATTTTGAAATTTAAGAATTAAAAAAAATATTTTTATTGATTTCAGAGAGTAAGGGAGAGAGAGAGAGATAGAAACATCAGTGATGAAGGAGAATCATTGATCGGCTGCCTCCTGCATGCCCCACACTGGAGATTGAGCCCACAACCTGTGCATGTTTCCTGATGGGAAATCAAACTGTGCCCTCCTGGTTCATAGGTCGAAGCTCAACCACTGAACCACACCAGCCAAGCTTTTTTTTTTTTAATTGATTATCTTTTTGAGAGAGAGAGAGAGAGAAAAACATTGGTTTGTTTTTCCACTTATTTATGCATTCATTGGTTGCTTATTGTATATGCCCTGACCGGGGATCGAACACACAACCTTGGCATATTGGGATGACGCTCTAACCAACTGAGTACCTAACCAGGTTTCTTGTTTTTGATAATAGCCATTCTGCCATGTGTGTGGCGATATCTCATGGCTTTGATTTCTATTTCCTTGATGATTAGTGACATTGAGCATCTTTTCAGGGCCATCTGTCCTTTTTGGAAAAATGTGTATTCAGACTGTTTGCCCATTTATTTGGATTTGTTTTGTTTTGTTAATCCTCACCAGAGGATATTTTATCCATTGATTTTTAGAGAGTGGAGGGGAGGAAGGTGGGGTGGGGGGAGGGAAGGAGAGAGACTGAGAGAGAGAGAAAGAAAAAGAGAGAAAGGATGAAAGGAAGGAAGGAAGGAAGGAAAGGAGGGAGGGAGGGAGGAAGGAAGGAAGGGAAAGAAAGGAAAAGCAAGAAAAAGAGCCTGGTTGTCCTGGCTCAGTGGTTGAGCGTTGACCTATGAACCAGGATGAGGGCACAGGCCCGGGTTGTGGGCTGGATCCCCAGTGGCGCGTGCAGGAGGCAGCCAATCAATGATTCTCTCTCATCACTGATGTTTCTATCTCTCCCTCTCCCTTCCTCTCTGAAATCAATAAAAATATATTTTAAAAAAGAAAGAAAGAGAAACATCGATGTGAGAAAGACACATCGATTGGTTGCCTCCTGCACCCACCCAGACAGGCCGGGGAAGCAAACCTACAACCCAGGTACATGTCCAGGACTGGGAACTCGCGATGCTCTAACACTGAGCCACACCCACTGGCCAGGACGCCCATTTTTTAATTGGATTGTTTTTTGATGTCGAGTTGTAAGTATATGTTCCATGTGGTGGAATACACGTTCTTCATCTGCTCTACAGTTGATGGGCGTAATGATGCTGTGGACATGGTTGTGTATCGTCCTGGTGCACGCGTGGCAGTTTCTGCTAGATGGGACGATAAGCACACGGGAGACTGATCAAGTAGTGGGGCTTGGTTTTCACGTTGCTGTGCCAGTTTTCATGCCCATTAGCAGTGTGCCAACAACCCGACAACCTCCTCTGCATTTGATAATGTCAGGCTTGTTAATTTCTGCCAATCTGGTGGGTGTGTAATAATACCTTGTGTTTTAACTGATTTCTCCCTGGTTCCTAATGGGATTGAGAATATTTTTCAGATGTTCATTGGCCATTCAGGATTTATGGTTTTTGTTTGTTTTTATTATTTCTAATCTTCACCTGAGGATATGTTTTTATGGAGTTTTGAGAGAGAAGAAGGAAGAGGAAGGGAGAGAAACATCGATTGGTTGCCTCCCTCACGCACCCCGACCAGGGATTGAACCGCAATCTGGGTATGTGCCCCGACGGGGAATGGTGTCGTTGACCTTTTTGGTGCATGGGACAATACCCCACCCAACTGAGCCACACCAGCCAGGTCCAGGCTTTTTGGTTTTTAAAAATAAAACTCTTGTTGAAGTCATTAGCCTATGTTTTCCCATTTTTAAAAATTGATTTGTAGGTGTTTTGAAGAAGAATACACGCATTCTGGATCTGGCCCTTTGCGCATGTGAGGCAGCTAGCTTTCCGCAGTTAGTAGCCTGTCTTTTCATTCTCCTTGAGGTGCCCTTAATTTTAAAATGTCTCCGTTTTTGACCTTTTCAGAACGCCAGTCTGAATTGCCAACCCAGAGTAAGGCTAGCTTCCCCAGTATTCTCAGTGACCCAGACCCAGACTCTTCTAATTCTGGATTTGACAGCTCCGTTGCCTCTCAGATCACGGAAGCTTTAGTCAGTGGACCGAAGCCGCCTATTGAAAGTAGGTACATGTTTCATACTCTCGGTTTTATTTTATCATCGTCCTGAGTTGCTTTTCTAAAACATTGTTAGTTTCGTTGCTGCTTAAACTAGAATCTAATGAGAAACTCCTTAGTGGAGTGTCTAGAGGGCCGTGGAGACGCTTGGTGAAAGTTACCTTCTGTAATGAAATCACAGTATCTGTCATCAGCGCATGTGAAGATACACATTCTCCGATTTTACTGAAATGAGACTATTTTGTAGCTTATTATTATACCTCTTTATTAATTTTATCACTATCATTATTTTCTCCATTGTAAAGTTTTCCTGATCTTATCGTTCTTAATTTAAAAAAAAATCCATTGAACTTGAAGTATTAGAGCGGCATCTTGTGGTTTTATAGGCTTCTGTGTGGTTTTACTGGTGAAGGCCTGCCTTCTGCTCAGGGGTGAGAACAGGTTCTTCAGATCGCAGCGTCCCCATGAGCCTGAAGTTCACACTGACTCTGTGCCGTTTACAGTAAGTCTCTGGCGTCAGTGAGCGATACTGAAGTCTCAGCCGGTCACAGGTGTGCCTGAAGCTCATGCACCCGGTGTGTAGCTCACACGTGCCAGGACCAGCGTTGACGCGTGGGCCACGGGAGGCAGGTGACAGCAAACCTGCAGACACCGGTCAGGGCACCAGGCATCCCTCCTGCGGGAACCTGACACACGGTGTCGTGCTTCCCATGAAGTGTTAAAAACTGATTCTGTTGGAAAGAGCTTCAGCGGCTAGTTCTGCAATGTAAATGAAGAGAGAGTGTAACATACGGTGTTAGTTCTTAGCCAGAAAACAGACATTTTCAGTAAACTAGAGTACGCTCTCAGATTGTGCAGGGGCTAGGATCCAGAGGAACGAGCCATCAGGCCCTGTGTGGAGACCAGGGTGTGGAATTTGTTTAGCAGAAGTTCCAGCCAGCATTATTTTAGTGGGTTTCTAACTTAGAGAGCAATCATGTTTTATGAAATAGGTGAAGTGTTGAGTCACTTTATTTTCCTGTTGTACTTTTACTGTTTTATGAAAATGAATATGGTATTTGTGAATTTATGGAAGTCTTCAGATTCATTTGAAAATGTCAAATCAACCATACATTTTAAAAAATATATATTTTTATTGATTTCAGAGAGGAGAGGGGGAAAGAGATAGAAACATCAATGATGAGAGAGAATCATTGATCAGTTGCCTCCTACACGCCGCCTACTGGAGATTGAGCCCGCAGCCCTGGCATGTGCCCTGACCAGGAATCGAACTGTTTCCTCCTGGTTCATAGGTTAATGTTCAACCATTGAGCCACGTGACCTCCTTGTTCATAGGTCGACACTCAACCACTGGACAACCATACATTTTTTCCCCCCTGACATTTCATCTCCATGTAATTTGCCACTTCAAGGTTGTAAGATGCAAAGGCTGAACTAGTACACAACCTAGTGGTCTCAGGATAGAATAGTGGTAACTAAGAATAGGATGAGTGAGATCAAATAGGGTTTCATTTTCCCGAGAGACTGTCACCAGTAGGGCAGGTTGTGTCCTTTGCATTGAGTGGTAAGCATCCTCGAATGAAGGTTGTCAGCTCCTGGTGCCTCTCTTCTCCAGAAATACAGCCATTTGGTCTCTGGCATAATAATGTGTGTGCTTCACTTTCTTTGTATCATGAATGAACCCTGACCTATATCCCTTCTGCTTCTGGTTTTGAAGCCACAGTTTTATCATATTATTCTTATTAAAAGGGTGTTAGTCTACTTCATTAAGTGAAACGCGTGTAGATGCACACAGATGTGTGCAGTGTGAACTCACTGATAGAAGCAGTCACGTGTTACTTTTCATTTACAGGCCATTTTCGGCCAGAGTTTATTCGTCCACCACCTCCACTCCACATCTGTGAGGATGAGCTGGCCTGGCTGAACCCAACAGAGCCCGACCATTCCATTCAGTGGGATAAATCCATGTGCGTTAAGAATAGCACAGGTGTAGAGATCAAGCGAATAATGGCCAAAGCCTTCAAAAGCCCCTTATCTTCTCCTCAACAAACACAGGTAAACCTTTTCTTTAATCCGTCAAGCATTGATTTTTGTTTTCTCATCATGTGGTAAGTGACCCCTAGGGCAGTGATGGCAAACCTATGGCACGCGTGTCAGAGGACACGCGAACTCATTTTTTTGGTTGATTTTTCTTTGTTAAATGGCATTTAAATATATAAAATAAATATCAAAAATATACATCTTTGTTTTACTATGGTTGCAAATATCAAAAAATTTCTATATGTGACACGGCACCAGAGTTAAGTTAGGGTTTTTCAAAATGCTGACACGCCGAGCTCAAAAGGTTCGCCATCACTGCCCTAGGGTGATCTGAAGCGCTGCTCTGCCCGCCCACAGGTGGGGCAGGAGCTTGGTGACTAACCATGTGCCCAGGTTTGTTTGGGGTCAGTGTGACTTTGGGAGAGGGGGAGGGGCTTTTTTGGCACTTGGCTCCTGCTATGTGCCAGCCAGACAATCCATGTGGCTGGACAGGAACCTCCTGAGGGTGAGCGACTTCTCAGCCTGTCATGGGGGAGGAAGGAGGAAGCGCAGGTGGTAAACTCGCCCCATCACACCGCTGGGTAGGAGTGGGGTTGAGGCTCACAGTGGGCCCCGCTGCCCTTGAGGGAAAGGCAAGGACACCCTGTGGGTGGTGTCTGGTTGGTGACTCCTGTTCAGGTCGCACATTCACATTAGACCCTGTCAGGAGATGCTGACATCTCCAGTGCAGTTACCACCAGAAATACTCCTTTCAGAGTCAGGTAGGCAGCTGTTTGTAGTTCACTTTACTTACTAGGCCACCCAGAAGCACAGTCCACTCTGGTACATAAAGTACATAGGGGACAGAACATAGACAATTTTAAAGTAAAAGTAATTGATTATTTGGCAGGAAAAAAATTGTTTTTGAATTACAAGTATGCTTGTGGCTTGAACCATAAATACTGCAAAGGGGTGGATTGCAAGAAAGCCCCCCC